GAAGAGAGGAGAGAGGAGATAGGAGAGATGAGAGAAAATACCTAAAATGTCCTTGCATTAAAATTTTAATTAAAAATTATCAAAATTATAAATTTCTTAATTTATCTATTGATTTGTGGTTGAGATTGGATCTCACAGCTACTACAAACTAATTAGTTTGTAGTAACTGTGAGCCTCCACTTTTTCTATGAGGGCTTTCTTAAAAAAATTGAATGATCTTCAACATGCCTTTATTACTTGGATTGTATCTCAATTTATTTGCATACTCGAACAAATAAAAATTTGCAGGGGGCAAATTCCGCATCCTCGTATGGTTTTAGAGCTGTAGTCTAGCACCACCTAAAGACTCGACACACTTATTCACTTCCATTTGAACATATATGTTGAAGTCCCAAATCGATACATAGACAAAACCAACCCATCCAACGGTATCATATACAATTGTTTATACAACTGACAATAAGCTTTGATCTTTTATGCATCCTCCTCAAACGTCACTAGTTTGAGTCTTACAATATCATTGGAGTTTTTCCCTCTCCAGAACCTAACGATTAGTCGAGACACATGCAAACTGACCTAAATAAAACAACTCAAAAATAGCATTTATAATTAATGGACAGAAAAAAATAAACAATATGCGCACATGGAGAATAAAAGTAGAAGGCTCGTATAAATTTATCTATAATTGGAATTCTTTTATTCCAAAAAATCAAAACTTGAATATCGTATCTTTTTGAATATCATATCTTTGGGAAAAAACAATTATCGTGACAAATTGTGATTTAAAAAGTAGCATCCAAACAAACGGTTAAAACGTCATCATCAAAGTATACATTATTTATATACGACAAATGTAACAAATAAACTTGCACACTTTCCTTATCTTTGATGAGATTTGAACTCCTGACTTCTTAGGAGGCCAAAGACTACGATATTGCTAGGTCAAAAGCGTTTTGATAAGTATATACTATATTTGTGGTCAAATCGGTTAAGATGCCTTTATTTGATTAAGTGGTTTAATATAATATATACAAAAAGCTAAAATGAAAAATCAAATTGAATAAATACTTGAAATGATGATTACGTAAATCAATATTATATTATATAAAATTTGACAAAAAATTTTAAAAACCATTTTTTATGCATAAAGTACTGTTTATTGATGTATATTACTTAAAATTCAATATTACAAGTAAATTGTGTATAAGTACAACTTATTAAAGCTTTATGTTTGAATTCGTGTAACTAACTGCGAATAAACATAATCAAATAGATGATAAATATCTCATTTTTATATATGAAAAATCTAAAATATAATTAGGATAATTATTGAATTGTAACAGAATACTTAATTATTATCTTTATAAAAAATATAATATTAAACATAAATTAAGTTACTTCGTTACGTTAAATTAAATTATAATAAAAAATTTGAATTAAAAAAAATACACAAACAAGAACTTTTAAATAGTTAATTTGATACTAATATTGATATATTTTTTACAAATTTTATATAATATTTTCAAATTTATATTTTATTCAAAAATAGAAACATTATCTCTTTTTCAAAACCACATAAAATCGTATTATATCGACATGGATAAAAAATAAAACGAAACATTGAAATGGAAATGTGTCTCGATGTATTGCACGAGTACCCTTCTAGTATTGGTCTAATGATAATACTAGAGTTGTTTCATTAGAACAAAGTACATTCGAAAAAATAGGTTTAAACTGGACTGTTAAAATTAATGGGTGGGCTTACACAATAAAAACAGATTTTGGTTTAAATTATATTGTCATATAATATGTCTTGATTTTTGTTCTTGAAATATTAGGTGCTTGAATATTTTATTGTTGAAAAGTCCGAGCTTGTAAGTTGATAAATCATTGGAGAGGAAATGTCTGTACTCCATATTTTGTGTAACTGTATTTTTCTTGTGCTATGTATCTTGATTTTTACGTCTTATTATATGTTAGAAAAAAATCGAAGTAATTTGAATGATTTTATATAACTTATCATTTTTTATAAGTTTTGTTGTTCAGCCCGTAGACAACCCCAGAGGCGGCAGGTGTGGGTAAGTTCTCAAACTCACAAAACCGGGCTTGAGTTTGCTATATTATGCCTGTTGGACAAAAAAATATGTTAGGTCTGGTCCGGGTCCGACCCAAGCCGCAAATGATCACCTCTAGATAATACCAACATTTTGTTATTTATCGTCTTAATCTTTGATCTCGGCCATAAATCGGATTATGTTAAATGGGTTGTTAAGCTTTTTATGATGACGAAAACGTTAATATGTTGTCCTCAAAATATCGAGTCATTTTACAATGTTCCTACCATCGTTCCTCTTCTAAGCTTTGACACAAAAAGGAAATGGAATTATCGGGTACTGTAACTCCTACTTCAATTCATGATTCTTGTTATACTGAGAATAAAGTGAAGAGGTGCGAATGTGATAAACAGGACTTTAGAAACTATAGAGAAAAAGAATGAGTTTGAAAAATATTTGCAAAAGGTACACACAATACCAGTTTCTAGAATTACCAGATGCATATCACAATCTTTGTATGATGGCTTGAGAGGTACACGCAATACCAGTTTCTAGAATTACGTCCAAGTTTGCTTTTGGAATTAGACGTAATGTTCTTGATTGGTTTGTATCAGGTTCGTTCATTAGCATGTTAAATGTGTGATTTCGAATAGGGCCCTAAAATTTTGGGGCCCAAATTTACATTGTCTAGGGCCTTTCATCAACGAATATAAAATTATAGCTCAACTCAGTGCCTTTTTTGATTTCTATCAAAAGACAAAAGTAATACGCCTAATTATCGTCTCTATAATTTGTATAAATGTATCTTTGTTATCTTATTTTGTCGTATAATCAAAAGTTTTAGGTGTAACAGGGCCTACAAAAAAATTGGAAAAAACTCAACGAAGTGGTAGTAGACAGTTTATCTCTTACGAAATATGGTAATAAAACAAAGAGAAAAGTTCAAAAAGAAAATACAACGTATTTTTACATTTTGAGTGATTTGATATGTTGGGATCTTTTTGGAGTTTTCCCTACAACAAAAAAAATTATTGATTTAGCAGAAGAGAAGCGAGCACTGTATATAGCCGAAGTGCAAAGAAACTGAAGTATACATGTATGCTAACAAAAGTAAGGTGTTGTTTAGTTTACGGAATACATGGGATTTCAAGAGAATTGGAATGGTCAATTCCTTTGACCAAATTTCAGTTTCTATGTTTGCTTCATTTTCTTGAAATTGACGGAATAATCCTTTAAATATCTTTGAATTCCACAAATTAGTGATTTCATAATTCATTGACATAAAATTGAATTAATTGAATTCCATCCTTTGGCAAATGTAACATATTTTATATTTTGTTTTTAGAAACACAAAACTAACCTTTGCATCCAATTTAACCAATACTACCTACCACTATCGCCCACCCCACCCCACCCTGACTGTTGCCGCCACCAACCCCCACTTTAACCGCACTACGACCACGATACTGATGTCACTTTTTCTACCCTCAACTCCTACCCCCTATACCCACCACCTAACCCACACCCCCACCACCACTTTACTATTTCCATCGTCACAACCACTACTCACTCACTCGCCCACCACCTAACACTAATCCACCTCACCGCCCACCCCGCCCTGCCTTGTCCGATCCGCCCACCCTGCCCTAAACACTCGACTATCCACCTCCAACCACCTTACCAACCCCATCACCACCCACCACTAATACCACTATGGCACTATTGTAGTTTCCACAACTGGCATCCCCACCCATTCACAGTATACCCTACCGTCGACACCACCATGTCACTACCATCATCGTTACAGCCACCACCCCCACCCATCGCTGACACCACCACGACGCTACCGTTTTCCTCACAACCACTACCCCAAACCACCAATTAATATTATCATTATATCATATTTTTTTCTTTTGCTAAAAAGTATGAAAATATAATAAATGTGTATTTTGGTCATTTATTGTTATTTCATTCAAATTCCGAAGCTAAAGTTTGCCCAACAAACATGAATATTGTAATTCTTTTAAGATAATTCATTCCAATTCCTACCAACCAAACACATGGTCAAATTTCATCAAATTCTATTACAATTCTTTCAAAGTGAAATTCCTTTGATAGATTCCAATTCCACCAAATTTCATTTTGTGAACCAAACGCCCCCTAAGAAATGAAATAATCTATGCATGAACTTATGAGCTAAATTTTATGCTTTAACTGAGTCTGGTCTTCAGAGATGGCGATGATGATGATATATGTTGATTCGTTGGAGAATAAGACCATGAGTTATTGCCGATGAAAGGAGGCGAGAGGGAAGAGGGGGGAGGTTGAGGTAGGCGCATTAATTATAGATAAAAACAAATAAGAAAAAAAATTCTAATCAAAGAAAACAGAAAAAAAAAAAGCAAATAAAAGTAAAAAGGTCGTTGTGTCCCATACTTAACGAACCTCACTAATGGCAATTAGATCCAGTGATGAAACAAGAAAAAAGATGTGAACTATAATGACTATCCATGTAATAAATGAAGACCCATAAACAACCATAATGAAGTGAACTTGATTGAACTTATAATAACATATGATATAATCTGCATAAGCATATATATATATACACACACACACACACCAACACACATGTTCGGTTGGGAACCTGTTTTTCGTTGTGAAGCCGCAAGCCGCCCATAATGCCTCATGTATCCCTTTTCAGGATGAATATTCATCATTAATTATTAATAACACATTCAAGATGAATATGGATGTGTTATTCTTCATAATCATACATTAATAATAAATATGTTACAACATTCATAATGAATAACACATCCAGATTCCTGATAAATATGTCATGTGTCGCGTTTTGTGCAGTTCCTCATTTCTTAATGAAAATGAGGTTCTCTGTGTGTGTCTTTAATTGTTCAATACATATTATACGAGCTTCATATGTATGAATTACTTCCAAACACTTATGTATCGGGGATTTTTGGAATATGTGAGCCATTTGGTAAACTCTTCAAAGGTATTCTCGTCAATCCTTTGTTTTGTTAGAGTAAAGTAGAGAAATTGTTCCCATTTGAAATCGGGGTATTCTTGCTTTCCATCTTTGTTGACTAAATCTTGTGGTGGTTTTACTTCTTTATCTCCTTTTGGGGACAAGAAGAATGCCACCGATAGCCTTGGTTCGAACCTATTCACTGCTACACGATGCAGGCAGCTCAAGTAGTATTTCCCATTTGATAGTGCCTACATATTGAATTCCAAATATAAATTGTTAATTAAGAACCAAATGACATTTGACCCAATTTTATCGGTGAATCTCTATATCTTTAAAGTTTTGATTCAATACTATAACATAATTGATTTTATAAGACGTCAAATATATCTAAATGTCATAAGAGACTGCTTTATAAGATTTAAGTATATAAGACCAAACAATTGTGCATCTGAACAAGTTTTTGGGATATATCTGAAATAAACGTACTAATATAATATTATTTGAATAAATGTCTTATGAAAACACATTTTCTATAAAAAAATGTGCTCATTGGGCATTTCTCATAAGCATCATATAAAAAAACTAATATGACACTTTATTTCAAAAGTTTCTTGAAGAACTTGTTAAGACGTCTAAAAACATTTTTTTCAACTCATTGCAACACTTTTACATAACATTTGTTTGGTCGTACAAATTAACTTAAGTCATATACTTATATCATATAAGCAATCTATTAAGACATTCAGACGTATTTAAACACTTTTACCTTGAAAGTGTCACCGATGTTGACGACCAATGCATCAGGAATGGGTGTAACTGATTTCCATTTGTTATCCGTAACCACTTCCAGTCCTCCAACTTGATCTTGAAAAAGTATAGTTATTGTGTTCGGATCACGATGAGGTCCAACCCCTTGCGTTAGGTTAGGCTGGTTACACTTAGGATAATAGTTGTATCTCTCCAGTGAAACGCAGTCTTCGTATAACTTTTTGAAGTAGTTTTGCCCATCGACACCCAAGCTAATCGCCAACAACTCCATAAGGTCAAGAGCTAATTTCCTCATTGATTGACAACACTTTTGGTAGATCAAGCTGTATACGACCAATTTAATTTTAACTGGTAAGAGCATTTCCAACATATACTTTAAAAAAATTCTTTAAAAATATACAGCTCTAACAATTTCTCAGTTTTGAAGAGTATAAAATAAAATTGGTTGACAGTAATAATTTTTATAAATATAATATCCCTTTATTTCAAGGGGGAAATGGTTACATCATCATACCCGGTTTCTTTGTATTGGTCGCCTAACGTTGAATTGAAAAAATCCACAACAACTTCTTCAGGACCATTCTCATGATACACGAAACTTAACATCTCTTTCCAATACAGTTTTTCAGAAAACCGATGAGCATGTGCATTGGTGAAACCAAGCATGATCCCCTCTTTCTTCTTGCACTTCATTTTCTCGGCTATTGGAAGATTAAAGAAAGCACGACCGTGCTTATCAACCAACGCGAGAAGTTCGAGATCAATGCCATGGTTAACAACTTGAAAAAGACCATGGCTCATGCATGATTCCTTCACAAGGTTGGCTGCATTAGCTATAGCTTGTTCATCATGCGTAAAAAATCCTTGTAGGTCTATTATCGGTGCATCTAGCACTTCGGTTACGATATCGTTATCATTTTTGGGCCAAATGTATTGTTTGGGAAAATGATCATCGGGTAGTTGGTTGAAAATAAGGGAGGAGTTGGTGGTTTTGTCTTCAAGGTTAGCATTCTTGAGTTGCTCCATTGGAACGCACGTATTAGAAAAGTTGAGGTATCATGATATTTATAGTAGAGTCACAACAACATCAGGTTTATAGGTTTGTCGTACTTACACTGTTTTATATGCGCAATCAATTGTTTGTTATGTGTAAAAATGTTACATTAAGTTTATAGTATGTTCTTTAACGTCTTAAAAAATTCCAATAGATCCTTTAAAATAAAGAAAAGTAGGGTTTTGGATTTTTTGTCGTTTTGATCCAATAGAAAGTATGAAATATAGAAAGTATAAGAGAAACTTAAAATTCTTCAAATTTGGAGAATTCTAACCAAAAAGATTTGAAGAATTTAGTGAGAGAAATAAATTGTATTTTGTGGTATGCACCGAATCAGATACGATTAATGGGTAGGTTTGAGATTAAATGTGATCAAGAGTGTAGATAGTTTCTTCCGCTTCTCACCTTAACTCTCATTCTCACACGATCATTCGCCTAGATATATTAGGGTTGGGGCCCTGTGAGAAAAAAAAAGTTATGATAAGAATCATAAGAAGAGATCTTCACCCTTGAATCTATCGTAATTGAATGTCAACACTAATGAGATGCACCGAGATTTACCAACTCAATTCCTTTTTAAAGCTCAATTCATTGGTGAGCATGATGTTAAAAGTGATTAACTGTTCAGATCATTTCTTACGCTTCTCATCATAACTTTCATTCTCGCACGATCCTATCTCTCTCTCTCTATATGTATGTATGTATGGGACAAATCAAATACTAACGACAAAATAGTGGAGAATTATAAAAGATTAACTCAGTCACAATCAAGATTAATTAAAAGGACATAAATATAAATCTTTTCTCTTTCTATCTCTAACACCTTTAAAATTAAAATTATTTTAAATAAAAAATATACTAATCATAATAACACATATTAATTATAATAATATTCTAAGTCAAAAAAATTATATAAATAGCGTACATTTTATTTTATTTAATTTGACACGAATATTTTTTTGTTCTTTTTTACATTTTTTCAATAAATGCAATTTTCACTCATATATTGTTTCACCTTGTGAAACAATACTTTAGTATTTCACATCACATTTCACGTCATTTTTTGTTTCTTTCCATATTGTGAAACAATACTACGTTTTTTTCATCATGTGAAAAAAAAAACACTACATTGTTTTACTATCTGAAACAAAACTACATTATTTCAAATTAGCAACATGGTGTCGTTTCACAATATGAAATAACACTTTAGTGTTTCATCTCACATTTTTTTTGTATTGTTTTAAATTGTGAAACAATATTACATTATTTCACCTTGTGAAACAACAATTTATCTGTTTCACGTTAACGACATTATGTTGTTTCGCAATATAAAAAGAATATTTTACTATTTCACGTTTGATCACATTTCATATCAATATTGTCTTGTTTTCATATTGTCAGACAACGCTAAATTTGTTTCACTACAATGACATTATATTATTTCACTACAATGACATTATATTATTTTATTGCATGACATAAAACTTTGGTGATTCCACGTAATGTTTAAATACAATCTCTTTACATTTACAATATTTTTTTCCCCATTTGATGTTTTACTATTTAAAATAATCAAATATATTTTTATTAAGTCGTACGTTTTTTTATACGTTACCATCGAATAACGTATATGTGAGAAAGCAAACGAGTAAAAATTAAATTAATAATATCATAAACTAATAAAATATAAAAGATTATTATCAATTAATGAAAATTAAAATATCTTATATTACGTATAAATTACTTTACATACGATTGAATTAAAAAAAAAAATAATTGATTCTAAATTTTGATATCTATAAAAAAAAATTGAAAATAATCAAGAAAAGAAAAGAAAAATATCATCATGACCTTGGAACATTAACTAAGGTTTGTTAGATTAGAGTGATTAAATGGTTGTGATTGATTCTCAAGGTTTTTAATTTTTTTTATGGTTCTTATTTGATTATCATCATATATATATATATATATATATATATATATATATATAACAAATCAAATATAAACCATAGAAAGCTCATAAAACATACAAATTAATCTCAACCGTCCATCAAGTCTAACGAGTACCTGATTTCATAAATATATCGATTATTTTCTAATGTAAATTGTTGATTATAATTAATAAACTCTAATCGTTTTTCATAAATATATCGATTATTTTCTAATATAAATTGTTGATTATAATTAATAAACTCTAATCGTCTTCCATAAATATTCAAATCATAATAAATAAACGTTCATCATTTTCACATAATTGGTTTGTATGGTTTGTAATATTTCCATCGTTTGTATTTGATTTGTCCCCCTCCTGGTATGTTGTATAAATTAATTGGTAACAATATGAAAATTGGATTAATTTGTACATGGGTGCCTAATCAAACAAATTAAACAGAAAAAAAAAGTAAAAAGATCGATGTGTCCCATACTTAACAAATCTCACTAACGACTGTTAGGTTAAGGGACGAAAAAGAAAGAAATGCAAACCATAATGACTATTAATGTAATAACTGAATACCGTAGGGAAAAACGGAATTTTAAGAGATAATTTTACTCATAAACAACCATAATTAATGGAGTACAATTATTATAAGTTGTAATATTTCATATAATTTGCATAAGCATATATATATATATATAGCATTACAAATATAAGTCATTAACTAGTCATTACTCATAATAATAGCTTCATATATAAGAATTACTTTCAAGCAACTACAGATTGGGGATTTTTGGAAGACATGAGCCATTTGATAAACTCTTCAAGATTGTTCTCATCAGCTCTGTGTTGCGTTTGAGTGAAGTCGAGAAATTGTTCCCATTTGAAACTAGGGTATTTTTGTTCTCCATCTTTATTGATTAAATCTTGTGGCGGTTTTAGCTCTTTATCTCCTTTTGGGCTCAAGAAGAATGCCACCGACAACCTTGGTTCGAATCTATTCACTGCTACGCGATGCAAGCAGCTCATATACTTTCCATTTGATAATGCCTGCATATTGAATACCAGATATAACATGTTAATTAAGAACCAAGTGGCATTTGATCCAATTTTATCAGTGAATCTCTAAACATTTAAAAGTTTTGAATGAAATATTATAACAAAATTGGTTTTATAAGACGTCAAATATGTCTAAATGCCATAATAGACTGATATATAAGACTTAAGTATATAAGACCAAACAATTGCATGCTCGAACACATTTTTTGAGAAAATTTTGAAATAAAACGTGTTATTAGTCTATTTGAAAATAGTTCTTATGAAAACATATTTCTTATAAAAAAAATTGTGTTCATTGGAAACTTCTCAAAGGTGTCGTAAAACAACTATTTAGAAAATGTCCTGAAAAACTTGTTCGGACGTCCAAAAACGTCCAACTTATAGTAATACTTTTGCATGGGACACATTTGTGTGGGCATACAAACCTAAGCCATATACTCAGCAATCTATTAAGATACTTAGACATATTTAAACATTTTTTACCTTGAAGGTGTCACCGATGTTGATGACCAAGGCATCAGGATTGGGTGTAATTGATTTCCATTTGTTATCCACAAACACTTCTAGTCCTCCAACTTGATCCTGATAGAGTATGGTGATTGTGGTCGGATCACAGTGGGGTCCAACCCCATGCGTTAGGTTAGGCTGGTTACACTTGGGATAATAGTTGCATCTCACCAGTGAAATACAGTCTTCATACAGCTTTCTATAGTAGTTTTGCCCTTCAACACCCAAACTGATTTCCAACAACTCCATAAGGTTAAGAGCTAATTTCCTCATCGATTGACAACACCTTTGGTAGATCAAGCTGCATATAACCAATTTAATTTTGAATATCTTCAGTATTTTCTCCACAATTTCTTTAATATAAAAAGTCAAAATTAAAAAAAAAATTACATTCAATTCAAACAGTTTTTATTGCCTTGTACTTTATCAGTGTTAAAACTAACAGAAAATGGTTAGAAAATCATACCCGGTTTCTTTGTATTGGCTACCCAATGTTGAATTAAAGTAATCAACAACAACTTCTTCAGGACCATTCTCATGATACTCGAAACTTAACATCTCCTTCCATGGCAGTTTTTCAGAAAACCGATGAACATGTGCACTGGTAAAACCAGCCATGCTCCCCTCTTTTTTCGTGCACTTCATTTTCTCGGTTATTGGAAGATTAAAGAAAGCACGACCGTGTTCATCAGCCAACGCAAGAAATCCAAGATCAATGCCATGGTTGATGACTTGAAAGAAACCATGGACAGTGCATGATTCCTTAATAAGGTTGACTGCATTAGCTATAGCATGTTCATCATGCGTAAAAACTCCATCTAGGTCTATTACCGGTGCATTTAGCACTTCAGTAGCAGCATCTTGATCAGTTTTGGGCCAAATGTATTGCTTGGGAAACTCATCATGGGGTTGTTGGTTGGTAATCAGGTAAGTACCGGTGGTTTTGTCTTCAAGGTTAGCACTGTTGAGTTGCTCCATTAGAACAAGATATGTCTTCCTAAAGTTGAGGGTGTCTGGTATTTATAGTAGATTTACTACAATAAAATAGGGTTTATAGGTTACCAGAAGTGTCTATGTGTCTTTATATGGCTAAACAGTTATATGTTATACGTAAAAATGTTACAATAAATTTTATAGGACGCTCTTTGAGATCTTAGAATATCTCCAGCAGATCCTCCAAAATAAGGTAAATTGCGATTGTGGAGATTTTTGCTAATCTTTTTGCTCCAACATAATCTCCAAAATAGAGAACGTAAAAAACAGCTTTAATTTTTCCAAATATAAAAAATAATCTAGAAAACAAATTAATTTTTTTCCAAAAAATATTGTTAAGTGAGAGAAATAAGTTATATTTTGACGTCGGATAAGACTATTGGTCCTTGTCTTGCTCTTATCGGGTAAGATTATTGGTCTTTACCATATTCATGCGATGAAGTAATGTTACTTGGTAAGCGCTTACTCGGGTAAGCGTTTGGTAAACGACCCTTAGTCAATGTTCTTGGTCACACACATACATTATATTTTTATTTGTATTTGTAAAATAAGTTAATGACAATTAAATTAAAATAAGTTAATGGAAATTAAATTAAAATGTATGATAGAAAATAGATTTTTACAAAAATGGAAAAGAAATTATATGTCCACGATTTAGTAGATTTTTATAAAATTATTATGGAAATTAATTTATAACAATATATAATTAAATACAAAAATTTATTTATAAACTTATAACAAATGGATTGATGTAATTAAAAAAATACAACAATATATTAAATGCATTTTTTATTACACTAGAAGGGTACTCGCACAATGTAGCGAGATACATCTCGATTTTAGTGTTTCATTTTATTTCCTTTTTTGTCTCAATCGATGTCAGTTTTATGTGCTTTTGAGAAAAAAAATAATGTTTTTATTTTTCTAATAAGATATCATAAAAAATTAAAAATAATAATTAATATTAGTATCAAACTAACTATTTAAAATTTCTTTTTTTATGTGTGTATTTCTTTAATTCAAAATTTTATTTTGATTTAATAATATAATTTTTTATAAGGATAATGATCAACTATTTTGTTATAAGTCAATAATTATCCTAATTTCTTTTTGATTTTTATATTTAAAATGAGATATTTATCCTCTATTCAATTATGTTTATCTGCAGTTAGTTACACGAATTGAAACATGAAGCTTTAATAAGTTGTACTTATGCACAATTTACTTGTAATTTTGAATTTTGAATAATATGCATCAATAAACAGTACTTTATGCATAAAAAATGGCTTTTAAAATTTTTTGTCAAATGTTTTATAATATAGTATAGAGAAACATAAATCTATTTCTAAACTTACAATTTATGTAGTATATTCATCTAAACGTTGTTTTGTATGTATATTTTCGTATATATTTATTTTACAAATATGTATTTATAAATATAATATATCCATCATTTTCTTGATTATATCAATAGTTTTAAATAAATATATTATCGTATCAAATTCCAACGGTTTTTCATTTTAAAGATTCATTAACAGATTTTTTTAATATCTCTAAAATAAAAAAAGAAAAAGGTAAAATCTTCGAAAAAGTTGTATTAAATTTTAAAAGTTTTTCTATTTTTTAAAAATTTGATCATTAATTAGTTTATTAAAATATTTAGTATTAAATTTAATACCTAAATGGAATTTCAAATAAATCATCAATAAATAATTTTGAATTAAGGAAAAATAATCAATAGGGTGTTAAATAATATACGAATTCATATGTTTTTAAAAATTTAACAACGTATTTTTGTATTCAAACTTAATTTTTTTGTATTTCAAATGATAATGCCTACATATTTTATTATTACTAGAAGAGTACTAGCACAATGTAGCCAGACACATCTCGATCATAATGTTTTATTTTATTATTTGTCTCCGTCGATGTTATAATACGGTTTTTTGTGTTTTTAAGAAAGCAATAATGATTTTATTTTTGAATAAAAATATAAATTTAAAAATATCATAAAAATTTGAAAAAAAATATATCAATTTTAATATCAAAATCAACTATTTAAAAGTCCTCATTTTTTATGTAATTTCTTTAATTTATTTTTTTATTATAATTTAACGAAATAATTTATTTTTGTTTTAATAATATAACATTTTATAAAGATAATAATTAAGTATTCTTTTATAACTCAATGATTATCCTAATTATATTTTAGATTTTTTATATTTAAAATGAGATGTTCATTCTGTATTTGATTATGTTTATATGCAGTTAGTTACACGAATTCAAATATGGAGCTTTAATAAATTGTACTTACGCACAATCTACTTGCAATCTTGAGTTTCACGTAATATGCATTAATAAACAGTACTTACATATAAAAAGTGGTTTTTTAAGAGTTTTTGTCAAATGCTTTATAATATAGTATAGATTATTATTATTATTATTATTATTATTATTATTATTATTCTAATAATTAAGTTATTGTTATTACATTTTTTTCAATTATGGTATTAACATTTTAGCTAAATTACTATAGCCTATATTAATTAAAAATTCATGGGTTCTTCTTTAATATTTCATTAGGTATTATAATTATTATAAAAAAAACGATTATTTGAAATAAATTTATTTAAAATATGAATAAAATAAATTTATTCATATTTTAAATGTATTTTCGTTTTATCCTTAAATGATAAAATTCGTAATAAAAAACTGGCTTGTTGTAACGGTTTTGAATGATAAATGTCATCATATGTCATGTTATGATAACAATTTTGAAATATAAACGTCATCATATGTCATATTATGGTGACGGTTTTGAATAATAAATGTCATTGTATGTCATTCTACGATGACGATTTTGAAAAAGAAACATCACTATACGTTATGCTAAGGTGACGGTTTTGAAAGATAAATGTCGTTGTATGTTATTATATGTCATTCTATGGTGATTGTTTTGAAAAATAAAAGTGACCATATATCATATTACAGTGATGGTTTTTAATAACAAACGTCATTATATGTCATGTTTAGATGCCGGTTTTGAAAAATAAATGTCACCATATACATTGCTACAGTGACGGTTGTAAACAATAACCGTCACCGTATGTAATCTTACAGTAACGATTTTGAAATTAAACGTGGTCATATGTAATGCTATGGTGATGGTTTTCAATAATAGACGTCAATGTATGTAATGATACGATGACGGTTTTCAAAATTAAACGGTATCGAGTGTCATGCTAATGACATTTTTGAAAAATAAGCGTTATCGTATGTCATTTTATGGTAACGATTTAAGGAAATTGACTGCATTTTTTTACACCCAAGGTGACAATTTTTAGCCTATGGTAATGGTTTTTGATATGATTTGGTAACGTTTTTTAAACGCAATAAAAAATGTATCAAAAGCGACTGCAAAATGAGTGACGGTTTTTACGTCCACAGAAACCGTTATTGTATATCTATATTAACGGTCTTTAATCGTTACTTTTGACCATTTTTGTACTAGTGATTTATGTATGATCACATGCATACAACAACTCTCTAGTATTCATACTAGTATAATATTTGTCATAAACATTGATTTTCACCATAATCTTCATCATGAATATACGTATTATTCATCATTAATATACATATTATTTATTATGAATATACTACAGTTTCAAGTTTCAAGTTTCAAGTTTCAACTATACATACTCTCTTTTTTCTTTTCTTTTTTTATTGGGTTCTCGATTGATCTTGATGAGTTTCTGATTCGTCTTAACAGGTTCCTGGTCCATCTCGATAAAAGTTGAAATGTATAGATTACGGTTGTACACAAACAAACACAGAATAAATCAATGGATAGGTTCTCAATCAGTTTCGATGAAAAATGAAGGTGGTAGGTTATGATTTTACACACACAACTGCACACCAGGTCAATGGATGAGTTCTTTATTAGTCTAGATTGGTCTTGATGGGTTCTTGATTAGTTTTGATTGGTCTTATCAGTCCCGATGGGTTCTCGATCCGTCTCGATAAAAAATGATAGTGATAAGATATGGTTTTACTCACAACCATAACCTCACATCAAGGGTATTTTAATTTATTTATTTAACACTTTTTGGCCTTTTCTAATAAATAATAAACTATAGGGACTAGTTTTGTTATTACCTCAAACATGGGTGGATGATACCAACGGTATGCCTTATTAACATAAATAACATGTAAGCCATGATCATAGATAAACACATACCATAAAAGATATCTATAAAAAGAACATCTTTATTGAATCTTTAAGTACAATCAAATAAAATAGAGTTGTTTGGTTCATGGATTTGGATGGAATTAACAGGAATTAGAATGATCAAATCTTTTGACCAAATTCCAAATACAATGTTTGGTTCATGGAATAAAAATGATGGAATCCTTTCAATTCCAATAAATTCCTTCACTCATGGGTTTTACATTCCACGACAATGCACTCGGATTTGAATTCCTTTCCAACAAATTTCTTCTCTAATGCAAATTCATTCAACGTTGCGTCTACCATCTCATCTAATTGATCTTTGGTTCGATCTCCATCTGGTACGCTCTCTCTCTCTCTCTCTCTCTCTTAATTTCTCCATTTATACGAGATTGATAGACAACATTTGTAATCAAGAAATCGATTCAAGATAACTAGTTATCGATATCACTAGTCCAATTCCGTTATTCAAAAATCATAAAAGGTCATTTGTTGATATCTAATTCCGATTGTTGTTTAGCAATCAGGTATGGTATTAAAGATCATATCAAATATACATCTCTCACAAAGTCTGCTTTCATAAATGAAAATTTAGAAATAAATGTTAACTCTAGGGTGTAAAACAAGAGCATAATGGTTAACTCCACACATATTGTGAGAGATACGTATTTTTTATGCTGTTAAAATCATGATATATCGGATATCGGATTTGGGAAAAAAATTGCTGGTGAAATATCGGTCCCGATAATATCGT